CTCTATAGAACTTTGCATTGTTGGTGTTATCTGTGTAGCTTGTTCTTTACTAGGCTGTAGCTCAATGTATCCAGTGTGTCCACTTACCTCATCATCCTCTTGTTTAATATTTAATGTGCTTAGCACATAGTACATATCCCACAAAAACCTATTAAATGAAAAAATGGACTTAAAAAAGTGCCTTCCAAGATTTTGTTGAGTGGTTTGGTACAAGTTTTTCAAGGGCTACATTTTATTTTTTGCTAGTTTTTGGGCTTTTGACCTACAACTTATGCAACCAAATTACATAAGTTTTCGTGTAACACCTACATTGTCAAAATTCAATCGGTTTTTGGAGAGGCATTGCCAAAAATAGTTTCACACAAATCAAATTATATCTCTCGAGGGACTCTGCCTCTTTGCCTTTCTCTCAAGAGGTTTATTTGATAAGACATCCTATTAAGTTAGTTTCATTCTGCAAGGGATTGGGTATAAATATAGTCAAAATAAATTATGAGAAACAAACATTTTATTTAAAAAATAATTTTTACATATTTATCTTTTAAAAAGAGCATTTTCTCCCTGTTTAAAATCCTCAGAGCACAGATACAGTCTTTGTTTAGCATTTTCATATACCTTGATAAAGTAACACATCTGCTTGTTAAAATACTTCATAGGCTTTTTCTTTTTTTATTCTGGAGAGTCATTAATAATCTTTGAATGCCTGTGGTTACCATGAGCGTTCTTTCTTCTAAATGTGTATCTTTAGATTTCCAGTGCAAAGTTTAGCTCTTTCTAATGAACAATTTTGTGTAGAATTAACAAATATGTATATAGCTTGCAAAAAAGCAGATTGTATGAAGATTTCAGAGTTAGGTGACCATATGCTTTATTATCCAACATAGCCATTTTTAAGAGATAGCTTAGGCACTGTTAATACTTATCCTAGGATAATAAGTTAGGATTTTGTATAAACTGAGACTATTACAGACCTCTTAAAAGGAAATCAGGACTCTTTTTTTTTTAACACCCTTTATCCCACCCTTAGTCTTTCCAGAGGTTCTCCCCTCCCCCAGCTGTTTAGTTACTTCTTTTAGGATTTATCTTCATATTGCTAAAAGATGCATTTATACTATTATTTTGTGGTATTTTTTATTAGAATTTTTAGGAATTAAATTTTTTTAATATTGTTTGTATGTGTGCAGACAGAGGTTAGAAGATAATTTTGGATCCTCTGGAACTGGAATTAGAAAGTTTTGAGCCCCAGTGTGGCAAAGTGCTCCTACCAGCCATGGAGTCATCTCTTCAGCCCCCTTTCATTAGATTTTTGTTTGGGATTTTTTTTTTTTTTTGGTTATCATTGCCCTTCTCAAATACCTCCAATTTATAGCATACTTAAAGCAACGTTAAGTAGTCTATTTATATTACTAGGATTGAAAATATTAGCAGTCAACTAAATATAACCATACTTCTTTTTTGGCAATATTGTATTTTCCCAGGTAAAAACATTAACTTTAAAAAAAAAATTTTTAAATTTATTTATTCTATATACATGTGTATAAATGTGTGTTTGTGGAAGTTAGAGGACAAGTTTACAGAGTTAGGAATCAGTTTTCTCCTTCCACCATGTGGGTCCCAGAAATCAACACAAGTTGTCAGACTTCGTATCAAGTTCCTTTAATCCACTAAACCATCTTGATGGTCCCCTAAAATAAACTTATATAAGAAGGCCTTTTGGAGCTGGAGAGGTGGCTCAGTGGTTAAGAGCATTGGCTGCTCTTGGAGAGGACCCTTTTGACTTCCAACACCCCTGTGGCTGCTAGCAGCTGCCTATAATTCCAGTTCTGGGGGATCCAATGCCCTTTTCTGGCCTCCATGGGCATTGCACAATACGGGTGCACTTTTACGTACATGAAGGCAATATACTCCAACAAAAATTTTCCAGTTGTACCCAACCATTATTTCTGCCACATTGCTGATGGAATGTAATTTTCACAAGATGCCTTATTTCTTAGTACCTTCTCTTCCTTTCCTGGAGATCCTACTCCAGTGTGATCAGTTGCTCCCTATACTATGTTATTCTCATGAATGTTTTCCTTTGTTACTGCTTTCTGGGTTCTTTATCTGGTTATTTCGTGCTTTACACTCTTTTACTAGGACATGCTTTCATTTAGGATTATATGGTTGTGGGGTTTGTTTTTTGTTTTTTGTAGAGTTGAGCTATGCCCTCAACCCTTTGTTTTGTTTTTTGATAAGCATGTCTATAAATGTGTCTTGTTCTTCACCTCAGATAGATTAGAATTCAAGGCTCTGTAAACACTTCTCAGCACTACAGGCATTGCCTTGATAGTTGAATATTAAGTTACTCTGATTATGTTTCCTTTCTATGTTACCCACTTTCCCACTATGATAAATTATAGGATCTTCCTGTTATATCTGTTTTTCCACAATTCCACCTTGAAATGGTTGTTTCTTGAATATGAAATGTTTGTTGTCAGCTCATGTGTTGGTTACTAGCTGGTTAGAGCTGTGAGGAAAGGTCGTAGAACCTCTCGGAAGTGAGTCCCTAGGTGTGGACCTTGAGATTTGGTAGGCTAGCCTCTCTCCCTGTTTGCTCTCTGCTTTCTGACTGCTAATACAGTGTGATCATAAGTCTCATTTCCTGTTGTCCTGCCTTCCCCACTGTGATGGACTGTATCCCTTCTTAAACTATAAGCCAAATAAAGTCTTCTTCAAGAAAGTTGCTTCTTGTCATCTGTTTTAGTCACAGCAATGAGAAAAGTAATGAATGCAGTGATGAAATGGTGTTCTAATAATGTTGGTCTTATTTTCTTGTATTTTGCTTCATTTTAATGTGGAGATGGTATATTTCAGTTGTAGAAAAGTATTTCTTGGCAGTTTCTTTTACTGTCAGATGATAACCTTGTAGACAAGTCTCTTATTTTCACATTACATTTTCCACTTTTTCTGCTTTGAGATGTTTCTGTTTCTTTGGCTCATTCCTAATCATTGTATTTACTCTGTTTCAATGTTAAACCATCGTACCTTCTCCCTGCTTCATGTGTAAGCCCCTTTATTATCATTGCTACTGTATTTTTGCTTTGTTTTGTTTTGTTTTTTATGTTATCAAACCCTTCCTTGAATACCTAGTCAAGCTTGATGTTTGTTATTAGAGAAGGGCACTAGAAAAGCTGGTGAGATACTTTTACTAACTTGTAGACTTGGTGGTGGGGGTAGAATACTTGGGGTTAAGCTAGGTTGATTTTTGTCCTCTTCCTTCCCTCCATTTTCTCTCTTTTCTCCTCCATTTTTTTCCTTCTCTTCCTTTCCCTATGCTAGTGATCAAACCAGGGTCTCATGCATGCCATGCAAAGCACTCTTACACCCAGTACCCTAGCAAGTTAGGGTTTTATAGTGGGTTTTTGGGCCCCATCGGGCGGGTTGAGACAGGATCTCCCTGTAGCCCCAGCTGGCCTGGAACTCAATAATGTAGACCAGGCTGGCTTTCAATTCACAGAGCTCCACCTGCCTCTCTCTCCTGAATGCCATAGCCACACCACCACCATGCCTGGTTTACAAGCTAGGTTTTTGAGAGCATTCCCAGATGTCATTCAGAAATCTTGCCTCTGGTGTTCTTCAGTGATTCAAGATGAGAAACTTTAAAGTTGCCTGACAACATTGGAGAAAAAGGACCAGAAAAAGAGACTTTGGGTCTCAGGGTCAAGTATATAGATTTTCTTTTATTTATCATGCTGATCCTTTGGCGAACATCTGCAAAATAATTTGCTGCGCCTTCTTGCTGGAGGACTCCCTTCTCCCTTTTTAAGGCTGAATTATCCATTGTGTGTATACCACAATTTGCTTATCCCTTCATCTATTGATAAGATTTGGAGTCTGTTGTGAATAATACTGACTGCTGTGACTTGTGTGTGCAAATATTCTAAGACCTTGTTTTCAGATGATTGGGTTTTTTGTTTGCTTGTTTTTTATATGTCCATAAATGAAATTACTGGATCATATGATAATTTCATTTTTGATTTTTGAGGCATTGTCACACAGTTTTTCACAGAGGTTGTATTATGGCCCAATCTCTTTTTTGGTACATTGCTTCTTTGGTACATTTGATACTTTTGTAATGCTAAGGTGTCAAATGCTTTGCTTTCAGTCCCTACCCCAGTCAAGGTATCTATCTATACTAGTTTCATTCTCTCCTGAATTGCTTTGCCTCTCCTACTTCAGATTCCCCAGATGTACCTTGATATTTCCTGCTCTTTTCCTTTGTAATTTTTGTTCATGGTTAAAATCTTTGATTCATTTACTCTGGTTTTGTGGGATTTTATAAAGCATGTGCAAAATGGACTTTTAAAGATAGCCTGTTAGTTAAAAGTTTTTGGTAATGTTTCTTTAACCACATGTAGTATAACTTTCACTCTGATTTCTCATTTGTTAAATTCTTAGTTGCATAATATTAATTGGTATGCAATTACCTTTTTTCATGTTTGCCACATATAATATGCCACACATTGTCTAACATATTGCTGTGTTATAGCCAAAAATATGGATTTTTGTTTGTATCCTTCCACAATTTCAAAATTTAATAACAGTAAATGTGCAAGCTACATAGGTTTCATTGGTTTTACTTTGCTGACTGCACTTGATTTCACTAGATCATACATTGCATGGTTGACACAATGATATACCAATTACAAAAAAGATTGAGAAAGGGTTAAGCTGACCACTGTATTTAAAGAGCCAATAGTGATGGTGAAGGCAAAGGACTGTTACTAATGCAAAGAGTCACTGCAAGTGATTAGATAAGGGATTATGTGTTGTCTAGGCAAGGATTCTTACCTAGCTTAGCTCAGCTGTGAAGTACAGCCACTAGAACAGGGCATGGAAGAATCATGCACATCTCTAGAACCCCAGTGATGTGTGTACAGCAGTTGATTGTGATAACATTACAAAGTTGGTGTTGCCATCATGCCATGGTCTTAGGGTACCCTTCCTTTTGTATGTTTCAGGTCAGGGTTGCATCATTAATTGGACTGATGTTTTTGATAGCCTACATGCCTGGCGTTTCTGATATGATTTGATATGTCCATGTATCCATGATTTAATTTGGTAAGTTCACAAATAGTAATTTTTATTAGCATGAATAAGTTATCAGTTTGTGCCCTATGGTTTTGCAGTATAACTGGGAGTTCTTGACAAATTCTGTGTATCCAACATCTGGGGGTTACCTACTTGACCAGACAGTTACCAATTCATTTTGTCTAGCACTTGTAGTCAAAAATAGAATAATCAGGGTAAACTGCAGTTTTATAAAATGGAGTGATATGGGACAAGGTATAACCTGAAAACCATTGCTCTGTACAAAATAGAGAAACTTGGGGAAAAGGCACAGCCTGTCCTGCTATACTTTTGCCTATCTTTTCTGTCATGTATCAATGTTTTAAAGACAAGATAATGGAAATGAGAGATTCTTTGTTGTGACTTTTAATTATAAACATGTAGTTAATCCAAAACTTAGTTGATAAATTTGTGAGGCTGTATGCTGGAAGTGAATTCAATGTTTTAACTTAAGTTTGAATGTTTTAGTAAAGCAGGTATATACTTTATCCAAGCTGCACATCAGATATGTAGCAAAGTGCATCTGTTTATATTTGCCTGAATTTCTAATTCATTGTCTTTATAATATGAGAATAAATAGGTTTGGACCTTAAAAATGGATGGTAATGTGAAGTTAGTGAGATTGTTATGTGTATGAGTGTGTTGCCTGCATGTATGTAAGTGCACCTGTGTTGTGCAGTGTCAGAAAAGGGCATCAGATCCCCTGGAACTGGAGTTAGTGAATGTTGTTAGCCACTTGTGAATGCTGGTAACCAAACCTGGGTCCTCTGCAAGAGCAGCCAGTGCTCTTCACTACTGAGCTATCTCTCCAGCCCGTTTTGTTTTGTTTTTGTTTTTCTTTTTTCTTTTTTGAGTCAGGGTCTCCTTGTAGCCCTAGCTGCCCTGGTATTCATTGTGTTGTAGGCCAGGCTGGCCTTGATTCCAGATATTTGCCTGCCTCTGCCTCCTGAGGGCTAGGATTAAAGGCATGTGCCACCAAGACCAGTTCAGAAAGTTTTTTTTTAACATTTCATTTTTTTGTGTGTGTGTGTTTGTGCCTGTGTCTGCATGTGTCCGCATGCACAAAAGCACACGTGTGAAGGTCAGAGGAATCCGTTTTTGCCTTTCACTTTGTGGGACCTGGGGCTTGAACTCAGGTCTGCAGGTTTTTTGGCAGGTCTTTGCCCACAGAGCCACCTCGCCAGTCCACAAGCTTTTCAGTTTATAAAAGCAATGTACTTATGTAATGGTGTCGTAATTGAGACAATCCAATTTGAGAGAATAGGAGAATAAATTATGTGCATTTATAGAGTGGAATGCTATATGAGAAATTAGAGTGAACGTAATTGCTTTAACTGCAACAACATGAGAGAATCTCACAGATGTTGAGCAAATGAAGCTGTGGAATCACACAAGAATCTGTTCTGCTGCCTCCTGGTGAATTCAGTGAATGAAGAGGTAGAGTGACTGAGAAAGTACTTTATTAGCAACAAACCAGTATTGCTAGAGGGTAGTTGGCTCCTGTTTTTGATGACCATCTTACCCTTTGTTTTAAAGGAATCTTTTAAGTGATATTTCAAAGAATGATCTCTTGGTCCCAGACAGATGGGTTCCTCAGTTGAGAGCACCAATTTGGAAAACAGCTTCTTTTAGAATATGGGCTATATATCTTCTTTCCTTCACATAGGTCAGCACAAGTTGCAGCCCAGTAAAATTGAAGAACATATAAATCATCAAAGTTTCTGTGCTGAATAAAGCAACTTGTGTCTGGTATTTGTTGTGTTCAGTGTTTCTGGCAGTCACCTCTCCAGCTGTGACTTTCTCTCATAACATGGGACTGGGAATTTCTTCTGGAGGGTGGTTGTAATGTGCAGTCATATAAGAAGGTGAACAGGAGCAAAGAAAAACTTGAGGATTGTTGTCTTAATGGCAGGGGATATTGTCATGGGTGCTTTCAAAACCAGACACAGAGTTTTTGTTACATGATGCATTTATAGGTAAAGATATAGTAGAGTTAATGATGACTAATTGTCTTGAGTTAAGAAATATTTTATGTAGCTGGGTGTGGTAGCACATACCTTTAATTTGAGCCCTTGGGAGGCAGAGAAATTGAGGCCAGCCTGGTCTACTACATAGTGCGTTCTAGGAGAGCTGGGTCCACAAAGAAAAAAAGAGAGAAATGTTTTGTGAAAAAAATTAAGAATTCATTAATCTATATAAGTGGAAAGTGCTCAATCTCACATTTTACATGAACTAAATTTAATATTTTAATTCCTTAGGATTTTCTTCCTTTCCATTTGTGTGTGTGTGTTTATATGTATGTACACATTCTGTGGATAGGTGTGTGCGAACAAGGGTCTTCCTGGAGCGCCTTTTTTTTGAGTCTCATTGGAGTTCACACGTTTGGCCAGCAAAACTCCAGGATTTTCCTATCTGCCTCCCTGTGGCTAGGATTACAGGTGTGGCCCTTTGCACCTGGATTTTACTGTATGAGTGCTGGAGATTGAATTTAGGTCATTCTGATTATGCTGCAAATAATTTTACCAGCTGAGCTGTCTCCTTGCCCCCCATCATTTTTAATATAATTAGAATCAGTGCCAGCTCTAGTTTATGTATTTTATAATTTTATAGGTTATACTTTTCATTTGAAATGTTACTTCCCAATACCATAATAAACATTTCTTTGAAAACATAGGAAACCATTTATAGCTTTGTTATCAGTAGTCAAATTATAATGTCTCAGTACAAGTTTTCTTTTTTTAATTTTTTAAAAATATTATTTTTATGTGTATGTGTGTATTGCCTGCATGCAGGTAAGTGCACCTGTGTTGTGCAATGCCTGTGGAGGTCAGAAGAGGCTGTTGGATCCCCTGGGACTGGAGTTATAGACAGTTGTTAGCTGCCATGTGGGTGCTGGATTCGAACCGGGTCTTCTGCAAGAACAACCAGTGTTCTTAACTGCTGAGCCATCTCTCCAACCCCAAGTTTTTTTTTTTTTAAGTGATAAAAATACAGTATCTACTTTAAAGGTTGGTTTGGACATGGAGTATACTAATGAATAATCAGTAGTCCTTATTTCTAGGACCACCATATAATACTCAATGAATACCAACTGTTGCTTTTATATTATAATTAGAAATCATGACAGTGGTAAGTAAAAGGAAAATGCTTTCTATTGTTTTGGAGACATGGTTTGCAGTTCAAGTTGGCATCTCTGGTTCTTTTGTTGCAGGCTCTGGAATGCTATGATTACAGGCATGGGATTGCGTCACACTCAACTTTGTATTCTTTTGCTAAATTTCAAATTGTATACACTGAGTACTTGTTTCCCAAGTTGTAGGACCAGAGCCTGGGCAGCCCTAATAAGCTAGGCTTAGCCACATGTTTTCCTTCCTTCCTTCCTCCCTCCCTCCCTCCCTTATATTAAATTTTGTTGTATTTCATACAGAATATCTCAAACAATCTGAAATCATCTTTATAGCCCCTTCCCCACCAGCAGCCTCCCATATCCCCCCACTGGAACCCATATACTCTGTCATGGGTGTTAAATCCCACTGTGCCAAGTCACAGACATTTCCCAGTGCAAGTCAATCCTTTTGCAGTTTAGTCAGATCCCTCTCATCTATCTATCCAAACACTTATCTTTTTTTTTTTTTTTTAACAGCACTGGATGGGGGTTAATTTACAGAGGAGTGGGCATCCCCCATTTATGTTGGCACGTTTCCAATAGACCAGTTGAACAGATGACAGTGAGAAACCGAAAGGAGAGACACTTCCTCAACCTCCAGCCTCACACAAGTATTGTTTTTATTTTTGTTTGCATGTCAGTGTGTGTATACACACGTGTGTACAGTTGAGTGAGTCATTTACCCTAGAGTTGAGTTACCAGTGGTTGTGAACTGCTGGATTTGTGGGTACTAGAAACCAAACTCTGGTCCTTTGGTCCTTTACAAGAGCAATAAGTACTGTTAATCACCAACTCATCTCTCCAGTCTCAAAGTTAAATAGAATGCAAGAGGTAGGCCTAACTAAGCAGTCCTGGTCAAGGTGTAGTTCTCTACCTATCACTGACTAGTCATTGTCTCAACTCCTGTTTCTCCTGCTAAGTGGTTTGAGAAGTTGTTAGAACTGTGAAATCTTTTCATAGGATATAATCTCCCCCTTTGTCTGGCACCCCTGCCCCAGCCTTCTCTATCTCAGCAGAAACAGAAACTCCTGGAGAAATTCCAGTTTCTTAGTAGATTGTCTCAGTGGTTTGATAGCCAAAAGGAGGAAGGGCATGAGTGTCTATCCTAAGAATAAATCGCTTCATTCCTACCAGTACATTTTACATATTCCAGGCTGTGGGTTAGAAGTATTTTAATGATCCTAAACTAGAGAAATTAACTTGAAAAAGTGAAATAAACTGGTGAACAAATGTAGTATAAAGTAATAGGATGTCTTAAAGTAGAATTACAGAGATAACAAGATGCTTGTGTTTAAACTAATGAGCAGAAATTAGATAAGCAATGTATACACTTTTCAGGCACATGCAAATCAATGGTTTATTTGGAGCATGTTTGGTTAGGGATATGCAAGTAGCATGATAGATGTATACATTGAGGATAGCTTGAGATCAAAGGCAGATATACGTGAGGAAACTGAGTCTCAGCATTAGAAACAACAAATTTGTATGTCATGTTGAACTTCTATGTTTGCTATATTATATGAGCGGTAGGAAACTGGTTGGAACTTACTAAACCTTTGCCTTTTAGGAGAAAAGGGGTGACAGTCTCTGTTATTGTTGCATATAGTTCACTCAATGGTTCATTTTTTTAATTTTAAAAATTCATTTTGTGTGTGCACACTTGAAGTTCAGAGGACAGCTTTTAGGAGTTGGGTTTTTCCTTCCACCTTGTTGAGGCACGGTCCCTTACATTATGTACTTCAAGCTAGCTGACCTGAGAGCTTTCCAGTGCTTCTCTAGTCTTTGCCTCCCATCTCTGTTCTAAGAGTCATGGCATTATAAGTGACTGCTACCACATCAGGTTTTTTATGTATGGGTTCTGGGGATGGAAGTAGGAGGTCCGCAAGCTGACAGCTAGTGCCTTTACCTCTGATCGATCTCCTGGGACCCAGTTGATTTATGTGAATGATTAAGGAAGAAATATTTTCCCAAATACAGTTAACAAAAATTTACATTTCACAGGAAAGAATGGAGTCTAAACCTTCCAGAATTCCCAGAAGAATTTCTGTTCAACCCTCTGGCTCCTTAAGTACTAGGATGATGTCTGGAAGCAGAGGAAGTAGTTTAAGTGATACCTATCATTCTAGAGACTCAACATTTAGACTGGATTCTGATTATCAGGTAATAATTTAATTTGGAATATATGCATAGTCTTCTCAATCTTGTGAGCACATGCTTATTAAATTTTTTAAAATATAGTTGGATCTGGGACATCCTGTAACCTTTTTTTTATTCCCACTCTTTTTGAGGCAGGGTCTCCCTGTAGCCCCAGCTGTCCTGGAACTCGTTATGTAGACCAGGCTGGGCTTAAACTCACAGAGATCAGCCTGCCTCTGCCTTGAAAGTGCTGGGATTAAAGTGTGTTCGGATAGTTGGATCTGGGACATCCTGTAATCTTAAAATAGAAGCAAAATAAAATACACTAATCACTCAGAATTGGGGGGAGGGGTTTCAGAATTGTAGATAACATTGCAGTTTTACATAAAATACTTTCCAGCGTACAGCTGATAGATAACTTTGTTTTTAATGTTGGGTGATTATTAACAGTCTGTCTCTGGGTTTTACTCAGTGGTTGGTTATGCTTAGCACCTGAGAGGCTATGGGTTAAAGTCCCCCAGAACCACCACCACCACCTCCCAATGAATAGTCTTTTAATAAAGCTGCATTACCAACAGTCTTTAACTTGATTATTTGGATATTATTTTTATAAATTTGCCTTATTTTATCTATTCCGCTTTTCTTAGGATAAAGTTTGTTGGGTTTTGGAAGAGCATTAGCATAACATTTATAGTATAAAATGATAGAAATCTCATAAAGTATGATTTATAAATTTCAAAGTTTATTTTGCATCTTTTGTTTAGTATTTGCTTATTTATTTTGTGAGAGTCTTGCTGTATAGTTCACACTGGCCTGAAACCTGCAATCTACTTCATGTATCGTACCTCAGAATGTGGTTCCCAAAACACTGGAAAACAAAGCAGGTACACTATACTGAGATACCACATTCCTTTCAAACTTAAAGTTTTTTTCTTTTTAATTGTGGTCTCTGAAATCAAAGTTATTAGAACTATTAGCTTGCAAGATAATGGCACATAAAAATAATTTTGGTTCTGAGGTACCTAGTTTTGTTTCATGTGCCAGATCCAATTGATTGTCTCTGGAGTGTTAGGTATAGAAGGGCTACTGAAGGCAAGGTAAATTAGAATTGAAATTCTAATCTCATTCTCACGTTCAGTCTTGCCATCTTATGCTTTTTTGTAAATATATAAAAGTTTATTCTCTAGAGTTACTGTGAACTAATATATTCCATTTTAGAAAATCATCTGATAAGTTAACATATGTCTTTTCATGTTGTGTGTCTGTAGTATTTTCATTTGCTTGTTCATTTATTGCCTCTGAATCCTCCCCTGCCATCCACATACATAAAACTTTGGACATGTCTCTGTTTTTAGTACTTAATTAAAATTATTTTTGTATCTGTGCTCTAGAGCAGAGCGTGCTGAATTTTCCACTGGGCCAGTTCTGGTGGTACACACCTTTAATCCCACCACGTGGGAGTCAGAGACAAATGGATTTCTGAGTTCGATGACACCAGCCAGGGCTACATAGTTGAGACCCTTTTTGAGAAAAAGAGAAAAAAAAAAAACCTTCACTTGGGACCTACCCATTTTTATCTGAAAACTATTTGTATGACCACATGTAGAAGTTTATTTTAAAATAATTTTCAGATATACTTATAATTTTACTGTATATTAAATAGGAAAGCAAATTGCCACTGATAAGAGGAATGTACCCTTTTTCCCCAAAGAACATTAACTCTTTGCTACTGCAGGGCATATATAGCGTCACTGTTCTTTATAATTGATTACTGTTTCAATTTTATAAATCCTCAGTGCTGAGAACAGTTTCATATAAATAACAGTACAAAATGGCAGAAGTATGTTTATGGCCATTTCAGAAATGGTTGGAAAGTCTGTCCTAATCAGAAGCAAAAATGGTTTTTGTTTATTTGGGTTTTTATTTTGGAATCACAGGGTCTTACTGTGTAGCCTTAGCTGACCTGGAACTCAAAAATTATTTTTTATGAAACTCAGCTCAGTGACACAAACATCAGTTTTTTTAAAGTCAACATTCTAACACTACAAAGATATGCTAATGTGATACATACTGAAGAATACAGCTAGGAAAATATTGTCTTTGTTTTCTATAATTAAGCCAGTATGGTTCTATAAGGGCAGAATTTGTTCAGTAGTCTCAAATCTGAGCTGAACTGAAGTTGGCCTTGTATGGCATGATGGTACGCTCAGTGAAAAGAGTTGTATTTTATGTTCAGTACAGGCTATGCCAAGGTCATATGGTACAACAGTGAGCACTGCCAGAAATACATCAGATTTGTTATGTGTTTGATCTTGAATTAAGTTTTGATCATTGCATGTTCAGAAATATTTTATTGTTCTCAAATTTTATATAGATACACTACTACTGCCACCATCACCACCATCTTCAGTTACACAACCCACAGTTTAAGAAGCTGGACTCTATCTGGAACACTCATGAAAAGAGTACTCTTGTGTTTATAATGAATTCTATTACTTACTCCATTCTTGAAACTGTTCTCACTATGTAACACAATTTGATTGTCCTGCCTAAGCTTCTTGAATGCTGCATCATCATACCTTTTCATGAATTTTAAATTAATGTGAACTGAATTCATGGTCCATGATATATTATCCATTTTTTAATTTTTGTTAGGCAAAATAACACTTAAGAGCTTTCATTTTAGTTTTTTTTTTTTTTTTTGGTCTTTTTGAGACAGGGTCTCCCTGTAGCCCCAGCTGGCCTGGAACTCACTATGTAGACCAGGCTGGCCTGGAACTCACAAACATCTGCCTGCCTCTGCCTCCTAAGTGCTGGGATTAAAGGTGTGCACCACCACACCCGGCTCATTTTAATAAGCTATCACATATATGTTAACATGGTTTAAATTTTTCTATTTCCTAAAACAGGCTTTTATTCAATCCTTACTATTTCTGAACAGTATGGCAGTTATATACCATGTGTGTACCTAAGGAAGAACAAATACTTGTAAAAATTAAAAGATTATTTCAATAATTGTGATTTACTTTTTTCTTTCTTTTTGATTTTTGAAACAGGCCCTTGTTATATAGCCTAGGTTGGCCTGGAGTTCATGATTCTCCTTCTTCCTAGCTTGCATGACATGTCTGCACCCCTACAGTGGCCTGGCTTAATAGTTATTTTAAGTCTGTAATTTTAATCACACAGATTAACCTTTCTCATGCACTATTTTAAGTAAACTGATGAACCAATTCAATAATTAGAGTTAAAGTACTTTCTAAATGTCTGTGTTAGAAGTTTTATTTTGTGTTTACATATTTACATGCAAAGTATGAGCCAAGAAGTTTTTGAGTGTGCATGCAAATGCACAGGCCATGGCACACATTTAGAGGGCAGAGGATAGCCTGTGGATGTTGGTTCTGATTCAGGTGATCCAACTCAGGTCAAGGCTTGGTGGCAGGTGCCTTTATGCCACAGAGCCAGCTCATTAGCCCTAAGAATTTTTAAATGTGAAGAAATTTTGGGAGTTAAAACTTGTTTTGTTTAACCTATCATTGCTAGTTTTTGTTTGGCTATATTACTGAGAATAAAGATTGTATTTTTTTGCTTTGTTTTTCTTGGGAATCAAACTCAGAACTCAAACACACTAAGAGGACATTTATCAATGAAACTAGGAATTTTTTTTGTGTTTTTGTTTTCTTTTTGAGATGAAGCATTGCCATGTAACCCAGGTGGGGCTGGAGTTCATGATCCTTCTGAGTGCTATAATTAATACTAGTGTGCCATCGTATCTACCTAGAATTAGATTTCTTTTTTTAATTAGTTGAAAATTTTTATTGCAATCACTTTGAATGTTAGTGTCTTTCTTGCATGTTCTGTATACCTTTTTAAGAAGAGGAAATAAGTTTCTCAGGAGATTGAAATAGTTAACCAAGAAAGATCGTTACAGTTTTTGCTCTTCATTGTTTTATAACTAAGCATATGTATACATATACATATACACATATACATGTATGTATATATGCACAGCTCTTGAAAGGATTGATGCAAATCAGATTGATAGCCCAGCGAAACAAAGAATGCAGTAAAAAGACAAGTGGACTGAAGAGGGGAAAAAATCCAAGAATAAACTTCATTATAGAAAATTGATACTTATAAGCATAAATGACCCCTAGACTAAAGTTAATTTTGAATGCAAAATTATTTAATATTTGTAATTATTGGGGCTGAAGAGATGGCTTAGCGGTTGAGAACACTGATTGTTCTTGTAGAAGACCCGGGTTCAAATCCCAGCACCCACATGGCAGCTAACAGCTGACCGTAACTCCAGTCCCAGGGGATCCAACAGCCTCTTCTGACCTCCGCGGGCATTGCATGACACGCGTGCACTTACCTACATGTAGGCAGTACACACATACACATATAATAAAAATAATAAAAAATTTTAAAAAA